AGCCAGGGGCAAGGGCACATGAACTCTTCCCCTGATCGTGGTATCCTCCAGGCCCAGAAGCCAAGGGAGACTCACAGATCTCTAGGACTATACTTGAGCACTTGCAGGCTAAGCAGAGTCAGTGTTTGATTAGTGATGTCTGCCACGGGCAGGGAATAGCCATGGCAATTTGCGGTGTAGTATGTTTGTCAGTGTTTGATTAGTGATGTCTGCTATGGGCAGGGAATAGACATGGTGACACATGCAGTGTGTTTGTCATGCCTAGGCTAGAAAGACAAGTGCTGATAGTGTCTCATTGCCTTCAGGGAGAATGCAGATTTTATGTCACATGCTAATGGATGTGTTGGGGTGGTTGTCCAAATGGCCACGTTGATTAATGGTCTTGCCACAGAACAACATAGAAGAGAAATGGCATATTTACTGTGTACTTGCCATTCTAAACCAGAACGACAAGATTTCTCCCTAACCTAAACCACCAATTTTTAAAAGTCAGTATGAATCACAATTCCCCTGAGTAGTGTGGTAAAATGCCTTCGCTTTGGAGACTCCAACTCAGGAGGTCTGGTGCAAGATCCGGAATTTGCATTTCAACAAGTACCTCAGGTGATTCTGCTGCAGATGGTCTCTGGAGCCACTGGCTTAAGGGGCAGGGATGGAGGCTGGATACCAGGACCCTAAAGGGCATCCCTTATGGGTAATAATTATAACAGCTATTTGTTGAGAAGGGAGGAGGGGAAATACTAGTTATGGACACGAACTTGGGGCTCAGAGAGGGACAGTGAATTTCCCAAGCTCACACAGCTTGTTCCTCTGGGTTGGAAACCTAGGACTCTCTGGCTCCCAGGCGAGCATCATTCCACTCTGCATTCAGAGGCCTAATGCTCAGGTCCTTGCATCTGTACCCGTTTATTTTCCACTCCAATGGCCATTTCCAACTCAGGTTTCTTACATCCTCTCAAGGCTGCCATACAACCTCCTCCCTGGTCTCCTTGCCCCAAATCTGTCCTCCATATGTGTTCCAGAAGATTCATCCCAACACCATCTGACCCTGTCCCTCTCCCACTCAAAACTCTTCCGAGGCTCCCAATCCCTCTCATTATGTGTAGATATTCCTGAGCTCTCAGGTGCCTCATTCTAGAGCAAAGTATATATTTACGCCCCAGCTATTGTGAAAAATGACTTCTCCAAATATGCCTCAGAATCTGGACGCCAGGCCTCAGCACACTTGAGCTAGAATGTCCTTCTCTCCATGCTTGGTTAACTCTGTGTGTCCCTTGGGTCTCAGTACAGAAGTCGCCTCCACCGGGAAGCCGCCTGGGACCCTCGAGGCTGTCAGGTGGTGTCTCTGCGCTCCCATATGCCCTGTGCCGCCCTAATGGGACACACCACCCTGTATTGTGACTGTCCGTGTGAGTGTCTGGTTTCCCCACCAGACTGGAGGTTCTTGTGAACAGTGACTAGGTCTGGTCCATCTCCAAGTCCCCCAGGGCCAGTTTAGGGCTCGGCATATAGGGGAGATGAGGGAATAAGGTGGGCGTAGGAGGGAAGGGAGCAGGGACTGAGGCTGCTGGGCCGTGGCGAGGAGCAGGGGTGCAGGGCTGAGGGGCTGGGCCAGCCACACCTTGTCTATGTAGCTGCGGCCCAGCTCCTTCACTTCCTGCAGGTGGACCTGGGCCTGGGCCTGGCTCTTCTTGCCCGTCCGCCTCCGACAGCGCTTCCGGTAGAGACAGAAACAGCAGCTGAAGACGAGGAGGCCTGAGACCAGCACGATTGTGGCCAGGGCCCAGGGGGGCACTGCGGAGGGCGTGGAGACAACACTCGGTGAGGCCCTCGGAAGTAGGCTGGCTGATTCAGTATGGATTACACGTGGGAGCTGGAAGCCTGACCTTGTTTTCCCTCCAGCCATTTGCATTCCATTTTCCCACCACCGTGTTTTCCCTCCAACCAATCTCACCTATAAAGTAATTTGATGCCCTAATCCAGGCTGACACCACCCAGATTTTCTTGCCTATTGGTTCCACCTCCCTTCCCACCCCCATTCTTTTTTTTTTTTGAGGAAGATTGGCCCTAACTAACATCTGTTGCCAATCTTCCTCTTTTTTTTTTTTCCTCCCCAAAGCCCCACTACATAGTTGTGTATCATAGTTGTAGAGTTGTAGCTCTTCTATGTGGGATGCCGCCTCAGCATGGCTTGATGAGCGGTGAGTATGTCCGCGCCCAGGATCCGAACTGATGAAGCCCAACGCGCGGAACTTAACCACTACGCCACCGGGCCGGCCCCTCCCATCCCCCATTCTAATTTCTGCTCAACTCCTGATGCTTTTAGAAGCTTTAACCCCTCCCTGGGCCTCGGTTTCCCTGTCTTTAAAAGAAGGGAGACGTGGACCTTCCAATTCACCAGTCCATCCAAGATTCCATTCCATTCCACACCCCTTGATCTGGTTCTCGATTTGCCTGCAAACCTGTTCCTTCTCCATTTCATTTAGATTCCAGTCCAGGATTCCGACTGTGATCCCACCCGGATTTTCCAGTCTGCCAACCTAAGCACACCCGGCCGAATCCTGCCCCTGGGAATCCCTGGCTGCGCTTTCCCTCCGCTCTGGCCCCGGGTCTTGCTCACCAGGGCCGCGGCTGATGCGACTCGAGTCAGGAGGTGTGTCAGGCGCTGGAGGCCCCGGGGTTGAGGGCTCCGGGAACATGGCGGCGGCGTCTTACAGTCCTTTCTGCGGAGGAGAAGCGCCCCAGCCCCCCGCGCCCACCCCGTGCATCCATTGAGGCCTTCGAACAACAAAGAACTCCAACTCCCATCGGCACCCTGGGCGGCTGGCCGCACAAGAATCGGCCAGCCGCCGCGAGGCATGCTGGGGGTTGTAGTTTCCGCTTCCCTGCGACGGAGGGCGGCCGCTGGAGGTGGGTTCCAGGACCTAGTTCTATCCCAAAGAGACGCCTCCTCCCTCTTAGGGCCCCGCCTGGAATCCCACTGACTTCCCCCCCTTCCTTGTCTCTCCCCAGGGCCTGAACCGGAGGTGGACGATGGCGGGCGTGGGAACCAGCGGACCAGGTTCCCAGAGCAACGACTGGCTCCACTAGGGTGGGGTGGGAGCAAAGCTGGTTGCCCCGGCAACGGCCTGTTGCCACGACAACGGGCGGGGCTTACGCACAGAGGCTGAGTCTGGGCGGGGCAGGCTCGGGCAGGCTCGCTCCGAGCCCTGTCGGGCCTGAGACCTAAGCCCCGGATCCCGGGAAGAGCGAGGGTGGGGAGGGGGCGGCCTTGCCCGTCGGTCCATGCGCCCACAGCTGGCTCTTCCCTCCACATCTGGCCCTGGGAGCAGAGACTCAGGCTCCCTTCCATCTCCCACTCTTGCAGGGAATGTGGGGGGCAGGGGGCTGCCCTGCTGCTCTGCTGGGCCCCCACATCCTCCTCGGCCTGTTTGTCTCTTCCTTGCATCCCGAGCTCTGTCTTCACACCTGTCCTCGTGACCTCCTCGGCCTCCTCTTCTCGCTCTTGATTCCAAATCGAGGTCTTCCCTATTTCTGTACGTCCCCCATTGGCCCCTTGCCGCTCCGCCGTCTGTCTCTCTCGCCCTCTGCCTTTTGTCTGGTCCCTGTCTCCCGGGGTCTCTCATTGTCTCCCCTGCCTGCTCCTCCCTCCCCTCTGGCTCTTTGTCTCCACACCTGTGTCTAAATCCCAATCTCCCCGTTTCAGGTTCCAGCCCTCCCACTCCCTCTGTTGGTCCCTCCCAGTGTCATCCCCATACGCACACCCCGTTCCCCTAGGGATGGGAATGAGGTTGGGGCTTAGGGAGGGGGTCCTAGCGGCTCCTACCTGCTCGGCGGCTGGTCAAGACCCTCCCGGGAGACACTGAGGCGCCGGCCCCGCCCGGACCCCGCCCCCGCACGCGGCTGGCGCTGTCCTGGGTGCTGATCGCGGAGCGCAGTGGGGCGAGGGTGCGGTGGGGCGGAGCCGGGCCGATGTGTGTGTGTGAGAGACAGACAGACAGACAGAGAAACAGAGAAAGAGAAAGAAAGAAAGGGTGTGTGCGCGCGCGCGCGTGCGTGTTCGGTCCCGAGTAGGTGGAGATTCCCGCCCCGCCCCTCGTCCCGCCCCCCAGCCAGGAGCCACCAAGGAGCCCACTGCTATTTATCCTCGTCCCCCAGGATTTTCTGACTTCTATTCCAGCCATCTGGCATCCAGCCCCCCTCTCCCCACACTCTGTCCTGTCCAAAGAACCAGGCGCCAGGCTACCCGATCCTAGGCCCCAGGAGACCCTCCCCGGAGATATTAGTATTCAGATATCCATACGCGAGACTCAGCGTGTCAGTCTCCAGCAAATCAGGCTGAGACATCACCCTACCGTCTAAGTTCCCCTATGGCCAGGCCCAAGAGGCAAGTCCCCACGCTCCTAGTTCAAGGGAACTGCGTCCACACTGCCCCAGACCCTGGGCACAGAAGTCTGGACCTGCAGCCTTCACTGAGAGACTCGACCATCCAAACCTACATTTTTTCAGGTGAAAAATTCTGAGTCCCTCTACTTTCCTCCCTAGGACGTTTGCCTCAGTACCTAGACATTAGGAACCCACCTGCACCCCTACCCCAGTTTTATTTCCAGACCCAGAAATCCACAGGGGCAAGCATCTTGGGAGAAAATAGTGATTTAATAAATTATGGGATAGAAGAAAAAATATATATACAGGCAGTGAGGTGCAGGGAAACCTCAGATCCTAGAAGACTGATTTGGCTTCTGGAGTAAAAGATGGGCAGGATCCTGCCTGTCCTTGCTCCTTGGGTAGGCAGAATTCAGACCCTAATTCTTTGCTTCCTCAGAATCCAGCTTGTTTCCTTGAGACCCCGCAGCCCGGTCCTCCAGCGTCCTCCTCCCTCACAGAACAAGGAAATCCTACCTCCCATCCCTCCCCTCCTTCGAGGAACCAGGAATCCAGGATCCTGGCCTCCACCTGACCTCTCCCCCCTAGGAAAACAGTTTAGGCTGCCAGCCCTCTCCTCCTGCAGGACCCAGGAGTCTGCGACCCCAGCCCTCTCCTCACCCAGGGGTCCAGGAATCTGGGCTGAAGTAGGGATGCAGAGTTTGAGTCTAGCTGGGCTGGGGTCTCAGCTCTCCCACAGCTTAGGCCTCCTGCTGCTGGGCCTGGATGGCGGCCACATTCTCGTAGAGCAGATTCTGGTATGTGGCCTCCTTCTCAGCCAGGACTGGGGATGGCAGCTGGAGAGACCGCAGGATGCACTGGTGCAGGAAAATGTACTGGGCCTGGGAGGGGGCACAAGGGGGTGAGGGGTGCCCTCCTGAGTCTTGGCCTGCCTTCCTCCAGGACCCCCCACCCGCCCTGTGCCCCTCAGGAACCCCATCACCTCAGTCTGCACCATCAGCGGCCGGCTTTCCCTCATCTTCTTCACGTAGCTGAAGGGCCCCACGAGGCCCTCACGCTCCAGCTGCCGCAGCAGGACGTCCAGGGCGATGAGGGTGCCCGTGCGGCCCACGCCAGCACTAGGCAGGGACAAGAAGGGGTCAGACCACGGGAGGGGGAGTCTTGTCAGATTGGAGGGATCTGTTTGGGGAGCACCCAGGGGTCAGGGTATTATTCAGCAAGACACTATTCTGAGGGATACAGTGTAAGTGGGGGTTATTAATTAAGAGGAAAGTAATTACATAGGACTCTGCCCTGAGTTCTTTCCATCCGCTAGGCCCTGTCCCAAGTGCAGTAGGTGCCTTTTCACTCCTCCCACGCCTGAAAAGCGAGAACTATTTGCATGCCCATTTCACAGATGGGGAAATTGAGGCTGAGTGAGGTGAAGTCGCTTGTCCCAGGTCACTCGGCTCATAAGTGACAGAGCTGGGGTTCACACACCAGAAGATGAATTCCCAAGCCGATAATTTAAAAAAATGTTTAAACATAAAATGAACCTTTTTTCGTTTTTTGTTTTTTGCTGAGGAAGATTCGCCCTGAGCAAACATCTGTTGCCAATCCTCCTCTTTTTGCTTGAGGAAGATTAGCCCCGAGCTAACATCTGTGCCCATCTCCCTCTATTTTTTTTGTATGTGGGTCGCTGCCACAGCATGGCTGACGAGTGGTGTAGGTCCGCACCCGGGATCCAAACCTGTGAGCCCGGGCTGGAGAAGTGGAGCACGCTGAACTTAACCAGCACACCACAGGGCCGGCCACCAAATTAACCATTTTAACGTGAACAGTTCAGTGGCATTTAGTACATTTACAATGTTGTGCAACCACCACCTCTAATTAGTTCTCAAACACTTTCATCTCCCCGAAAGGAGACCCCCATACCCATTATCAGTCACTCCCCATTCTCTGCTCTCCCCAGCCCCTGGCAACCACCAGTCTGTTTTCTGGCTCTGTGGATTTGCCAATTGTGGACATTTCATGTACACGGAATCGTACGCTATGTGGCCTGACGTGTCTGGCTCCTTTCACTCAGCATACTGTTTTCCAGCATCCACGTCGTCACATGAATGGGTGCTTCATTCCTTTCTATGGTTCAAGCTAATCGTCTTAATCACTATATGCAGGGCCGGCCCCGTGGCTTAGCGGTTAAGTGCGTGCGCTCCGCTGCCGGCAGCCCAGGTTCGGATCCCGGGTGCGCACCGAGGCACCACTCCTCCAGCCATGCTGAGGCCGCGTCCCACATACAGCAACTAGAAGGATGTGCAGCTATGACGTACAACTATGTACTGGGGCTTTGGGGGAAAAATAAATAAATAAAATCTTTAAAAAAAAAAAAAATCACTATATGCAAGACTCCCTTCTGCACTTGGGGGAAGGGACGACATTCTGCTGGGGACACCTCCAGAGGGTACTATCTGGGGACAGGGAAGGTGTTAGGACGCAGTTCAGCAGAGAGGTGAAGAGCACCACCATGGACATCCACTCAGCCACTTACTACTGGCCTTGAACTCAGAACTGACACACATCCGTGTTCCCTAAGTGTCAAGTGTCACCGAAACCAGGGCCCCCATTTCAGAGGCTGTCTGTCACTCGGGAGCAAGCCCCTTCCCATCCCCCTCCTACGTGCAGTTAGTGAAATCTCATCTACGGAGACTTCAGCGTAATTATCAGGAGAACGATTGATGGGTGAGGCCCAGCACAGGAGCCCAAGAGGTGTTTCAAATGTTTCTCAAAACCTTTGTCTGCTCCCCCTCCTGCTCTTCTCCCCTTCCTCCCTTCTGTTGCTCCTCACTCGTACCATCTCCTCCTCGACCTTGTCCTCTCTCTTCTCCATCTTTCCACCCTTATCCTCATTCTCTTCTTAGTCTGCATCAATACCCACTTACCTTCTGCCTCCATCTCCTCCATCTCCTTCTCCTCTCTTCTGTCTCCTTCCTCTACAAGTTCCCGAAGACCCAGATAACCCCGTTTCCTGAGTCCCGAGGGGGTGGTTCTCTCACAGGGAGAGGGTCCTCACCTGCAGTGCACGATGGGGGGGCCTTCCCCCCGAGTCTGGTCCAGCCACTGCCGGAGCATCTTCCAGAAAGCCAGCAAGGGGTCTGGGGAGTGGGGGACGCCGTGGTCTGGCCAGGCCATGTAGTGGAATTGACGCACGAACAGAGTCTTCTGCTCCTGCATCTAGACCGAGGGGGAGAGGGGGCTGGGCGAGGGAGAGCTGAGGACCGGGGGCTGGGTTCTGACTGGGGCATCCCTGGGGCACACTGTGGTCCCTTGGGGGAGTGACGGAAGGTTAGACTTCATTGGAAGTTCTGAGGAGGGGGCTGCCTGGAATGTCATGGGGAGGAATTGAGGGCCAGGACAGGGCTGATGCGGGGGCAGGACTTACATGCCAAAGCTTCAGGTCTCGTACCGTCCAGTTCTCCATCACCTGCTCACCCACCAGGGTCACTTGTAGGTTCCCATGGGTGCAGGGCTGGGCGTCTAGGGGCCAATAATGCTCACACTTCACCTGGGGGGAGGACTGGCGGGTCAGAGAACAGGAGGCCCTGGAGAACCTCCCCTGATGCCCCTCTGCATCGTGGCTCTTGTATTCAGTGCTGGGGAATGTCTCCTGCCTTGGCAATGAGGCAAGACCCACGGGCAGCCAGGGGTCAATTCCTCCCAGCCAGGAGCACCCCTTCTCAAGGTCATTGGGATCAGCTTCACCCCATATATGGACCAATGGATGGACTGGGGGAGATGGAAGAGGCTGGGGTCATAATGGAGGGAATGAGTGAAGTCTGGGTCAAGGTCTACACTGGGATCAGTGTCCGGGGCAGGGTCACAGGTTAGAGCTCAAGGGGCAGCACCCAGGACCCAGGTCTCTCACCCGGCCGGACTCCACACAGTTGGTCAGCATGACCAAGGTGTGGCTCTGCTGTTCCCACACCAGGCGCCAGAAGTCAGCCACGGTCTGGGGCAGGGGGCCCTGGGCTGCAATGAACTCCTGGGGATCACAGAGACCCTGGTGGAGAAAAACAGGCCAGTCCTGACCCCCCTGGCCCTTATCTTCTCAGGCTCGCTCAGCATCCTCCCAGCTCCCAACTGCAACCTTACAGGTATGAAGCTGGCATTGATGTAGTCGGAGCCTGGCTTCTCGTGGAGGGATGCCAGGGGCACACGGGACCAGTCATCTAGGGGATAGGCCAGCATTAGTGATGCAGAGAGAGGCGAGAGAGACCGAGAGACTCAGAGAGGCATGGAGACGAGACCGAGACCCAAGGACAGAAAGTCATGCCAAGGTGCCGACAGACACTGGGAGCTCAGAGAGAGACGGAGGGACCTCAGCTGGGAGGAGAGGGTCAAGGGGCTGTCCCCTCACCAGAGGCAGGAGCTTTGTCTCTCACAGGGGGATAAGGGATGGGGACCAGGGATGGGGGTTTGACAAAGTCACAATTGGGGACAAAGTTGTAGAGGCTTGAGACTTACAGGGCAGCACATTTCTATAACGATTCTTGAAGCTGTTTTCCGGAGCTGAGGCCACAATCTGAGGCTGGTTGTAGCCCTCCAGGACCAATTGCTGGGGGCAGAGGCAGAGGAGAGGTGCATGGGCATTGGAATTTCTCCACCTTCCCCCCAGGACACCCCCGCTGATCCCTCTGCTGTCTTCAGCACCACCCCGTTTACTCTCACACCCTGGAATTCTGTGCCACCATCCCCGTGGGGCATTTGGAAGGACTGGGGGGATGATGGGGACTGGAGAGGTCAATGGGAGAGAAGGTGACAGAGGAAAACATAGGTGTTTCTTTGGGACTGACCCAAGGACCTGTCTTTAGTGTAAGATTTCAATGAGTTGAAAAGATAATCGTGCCTGAGAATTTCTGTCTGAGCCAACAAAGCGTGTGTCACTGATTCTGTTGACTCCCGAAGGTGTGAGAGGTCCGGGGTGGGCACGTGGGGCTCAGCTCAGCCTCCTTCCTTCCACCCCACCTGGTACTCATTTGCGAAGCCACAATTGCTGTCCTTCTCATTTTCCCTGACGTGGTCAGCAAAGTCTTCTGCCAAAATGTGCCCTGCAAAGCTGTGGGGAGGGGGCCGCAAAGAATTTAACCTTCTTTAATCCTGTTCTCTTGGGATAAAAGAAAAGGTGTTTTGTTGTTGTTTGTTTTTTATGTCCCCAGAACTTATTTGTCTTATAACCGGAAGTTTGTACCTTTTGACCCCTTTCACCCATTCCAGCCTCTGCCTCTGGCAATCACCAATCTGTTCTCTGTATCTATAAGCTTGGCTTGTTTGGGTTTTTTTTTAGATTAAGCAATCTATAGATTCAACGCAATCCCTATCAAAGTTCCAACAACATTTTTCACAGAAATAGAACAAAGAATCCTAAAATTTATATGGAACAACAAAAGAC